CTTGCAAGGCAGATGGCGGAACCACTGAGCTAAATCCCCAGCCCTAATGGTGTGTATTTGTACAGTGAAATACTAGTAGTAGAGAAGAGAAAGTTAATGTTAAGCAAATAAAGTTGTAGAAGAAAACCTATCATGTTAGGGCTGGGGATGTAGCTCAGTGGTAGAAATCTCCGTAGCATGTCCAGGCCCTGGGTTTGATTCCAGCACTGCGTGGGGTGGCTGGGTGAGGAAACCTATGGTATGTTATAATGTGAAACTATGTCGTTGAGGGTAGGATTTTTTAACATTGGTATTATGGACATTTTTGTACTAGCTCAGGTAATTCTTTGTTGCAGTTGTGTCACCAGTCTGCAGAGGAATTTTTTTGCTCAGTTCAGATATAAATCATGAGTAGGCAAAGTGTAGCTCTTTTCGAACCAGCAGGTCTGAACCAAATGCTAGCGGCTGTCACCCTTAGGTTTGATGGCCCTCTGGAGCCAGCAGTTCCTGGGATCCTTGGGAACCTCTTCCACTGCCACAGAGATGGCAACTTTTGGCAGTTCTGGTGCTCTTCGTAATTCTCCAGCTGCTAACCGCCCTCTTGTTACCAGACCCAGCCTGTGCTGGTTGCCTTGGTGTTAGAGGCTTTTGATGTTTCCAGCTCTGAGTGTACCAGCTCAGCCTGCTGTACTCTAGGTAGAAGTCATGAGCAGGCAAGTGTGCCATCCAGAAGAGGACTGATGCTGCAGCATTAGGGGGCAAGTGCAGGGACTGACTGGGGAGGTTGCTTATAAAGAAGGCAGGCTCAGGCCCGTACAGGATCCCACCTCTAACTGCAGACTACTTAATTGTGAGTAGGGCAGGGGCTTCTTCTGGTACCTAAAAGAGGAGGATTGTAGAGGGATGGAGTCATCTGGGATGAAAAAAGGTTCCTGGAGCAGCCGTGGGATGTCTGATGTAGCTGGGGCTGGCTCTAAGGAGTTCAGGATAACTACAGAAGGAAAAACAGAAAGTACCTCATGGGGCACATCGGGCCCTTCTTTCCTGTCTCAGCTGTGACCTGCATTGTATAGGCCTGCATCCCTGGCCTCTACCCATTAGCTGCAGTAGCACCGCCTCTCTTATGATAATTCCCTTATCCCTGGACATTGCATCCCTTCCTGGGGACATTTAGCAGAATTGCCCCTGATTGAGACTCGCTGATTTAGGGAAGATATATCTGGGTGGTAAAAGTGTGCCAAAAGGTAATGGTAAACAGCAAAGGAACTGTGCTGTGAAGGGAGTGGCATGCAGCTGAGGGAAGAGAAGCAGGGCTTTAACTGGGCAGTGCTTTATGTTTTAAACTGAATGGTGGCTGCACAGGTGTATGTAGACTTTTTAAAAAAAAGATATGGTGTTACGGTGCTTACCAGAAGTGTGGTTTCCTTTGATATTCATTCTTTTCTGTTTACATCCACATTATATGAACTTGAAATTCATTGCAGTATGTTTGGGAATTAAGAAATGGGTAATTTTTGGCAGGAGATATAGCTCAGTGGTCCAGTTTCTAGCACTGCAAAACTAACCAAACATGGTTGGTTATGAAGCATAGAAATAAAAAAAAGAGAAATGGGTAATTTTCAACATAAAATTATTTGAAACTTTCCTGAAAGTTAAGGCATGAAAGCTTTTTTTTTTCCTTTGGGGAAACACATATGTTTGAGTTTATGTTTCAGGATAGTCAAACTTTAGAAAGAGGAGCACATGGTATATATTCAAATGATACAACTTTTGTCTGATTTTTAGATAAAGATAGTGAAAATACATCAATTATTTAGTTTGGTGTTAATTTTGGGAAGTCTAATTGAGTAGGTATAGTTGATTTTGTATTATTTAGTACTGATTTTACAGTAATTGGGAAAAAGTATGTTATTTATGCTTGTTTTGTGATCACTTGACTACAGTATTGTATTATTACTAAAGAGAATGAATTTGGATTTCTTACTAGGATTTTTTTGGTGTGTTTAACAAGGAAGAGGTAAAAAAAATAAGGTTTATTCAAAACTAGCTTCTGGTCATAATGAGTCCAAGCTGTTTGGGGGTATCTCTTTGCCCTTTTCTTCCAACCCTAGCAAAGAATGTTTTCAGGTTATACCTGGAAAATTGCCTCAGATGTTTGTGTTTGGTTAAAGATTTCAAAGTGCTGACCCTAGATAAAGAAAGTAAGAAATGGATTAATAATCCTCGTTCCCTTTTCAGAGGTCTCCTATTCTCCTCTAACCTGTTGGTTGAACAGTATACCAGACCTGGAAAAGATGAGATATGCAAGGTAGTTCTTGCTAGTGGCATCTGCAAGGAAAGCTTGATTTTCCTATAGAGCCTGCTCATCCTGAAGACTTCTGTAAAATGACTTTTTCTTTAATCTCCATCTGGTAAAAAAGTGTTTCAAATGA